CATCCACCCACCCTTACATCTATCCATCCACTCACCCATTCATATGTCCATCCATCCACCCATCCACCCATCCATCCCTTAGCTCACTGATCCTGTCTACCATTTAATTCTCGACACATCTTTCCTTCTAAATCTTTCCTCTGTCTTTACCCGTCCCTTTCTTTTCTTGCTAAGGCTGAGGAGAAAACACAAGAGCTCTCATCCTGTCTGCCCGCATGTCACTGTTATCGTGCCCACCTAGCTCATCTTGTTACTTTTCTCCAGACTGCCCTGGACTCTAAGGGGAAAACATTCTCCCACCCCGGTCGTACCTGCAGAGGGTTTTTCGTGCTTATGGCGATGACGTGGTACTTGTAGTAGCACAGCTCGCAGCTCCAGCAGCCCCGCTCGCTGATCCACTTGATGAGGCAGGGCTGGTGCGTGCACTTGACGGAGCCATCACAGCGGCATGGGCTCAGCAGCTCCCCCTGCAGGGAGAGAGGCAGAGGGCGGTGAGTTCTGGGTCTGGAGTCTGGCGGGTGGGTGGCTGCTGGAGTGATGGTTTGGGCCACCCGGGTAAGAGACCACACCACTTAAACCAGTCCCTGGCTTTGTTGGGAAGTACCAGAATCCACGGGGGACAGGGGAGCCAGGCAACTTCAGAGAACTCAACTAACATTTCGGAGCCTCGGCTCCCATTGGGTGCCGCCCAAGTCCTGGGGTGCCTACGAAATGAGTGGGTTGATTTTTATGGAAGCCCTCTACCTGCACTGTCCTGAGGAACAGGGATGAGATGCCTGCTCCATGAGAATGGGAATCATATCCATTTGTGGACGTCCAGACCCCAGCACCTTGCTCAGTGCCCAGCACTCAATGTATATACGTGCCATGAATGAACCTGGTAGCAGAAACGCTCAGAGCGCCTCATCCCCATATAACCCTTCCCAGTTCCCCGCTCTGCTCCTCCAGTATTGACAGGCCCCCTTCACTGTAGCTCCTGCCCTTCCTATACCCACTGTTGCAGCACTTCCCCCATTTGTCTCTGGGTTACTGCACCGTGACCCCTTACAGGGATAATAGCTTATCCATCTTTGCATCCTTAGCACCTAGTGCTGTGCTTGAAACAGATACTCCTTGCAATGTTGATGGCAAAATGCATTCCTATCTGTTTGATGAACAAGAAGTTTTGCTCCCCTAGGACATGGCCAGCTCTGGCACCAGGTGGACAACTGTGGCACCTGGGAGAGAAGAAGAGGCAGGAGATGCCCACATCGCTGGGCACCCGCCACAGCCTTCCAGGTCTAAAGGGCCCTTGGTAGTGAGTAGTTGCTGTGTAGCTTGGAGAAAGAAATAGGAGGGGGTGAGCGGGGAGAGGTGCTGGGGGAGGGGCAAAGCCCTCATTATTCATGGCAGCATTTCCTAGGCTCATTAATTCTAACAGGATGAGCTGGATTTGATTAATCGGGTTGTTAAGCAGCCATGTCAAATTGCCAATGAAGTAAGAGACATTACTTCCGGTCCCTGGCAACACTGCCAAGTGACCGAGAAGGGCTGTACTCCTTGCTTCCAAGCAGCAGCTAGGGGACAGGGCAGCGAGGGCTGTTGGCTGGGCACAACTGATAACAAGACCTGAGCTCTCCAGCGTGACTCTGGATGTGCGAACACACCACCAGCGCTCACAGGGGGCCCCGGACTGCCACACACTGTTGTGGGGAAGGGGAGAGCATGACCCAGCCTGGTCCCAATGCCTGGCTATGGGGCCCAGAGGCCAAACGTGCACTGTGTCCCCGGCGGCTCCTCGTCCCCCACGCTCTCCCCCCAGAACCGGACAACTCAAAAGGCAGAATAGGAACTCACTTCGGGTGCTACAAAGATTAGAAAGCAAGGACACCAAAACTGTTGGAAAAGTTTAACTCTGATGAAGGAAGCAATCCAGGATTTTTGCAAAAAACCAGTAAATCTGGAAAGATGTTATTTTAACCTTGGCATTTACATAAGTTTTGTATTTTATGATCTGGTATATTTTTATGTACATTTGGGAGAAGGGCCATCATCTTCTTTATGTTTAAGGCTTCTAGGAGGCCTTAACGTGGACGCTTTTCCGTCTTTGGCTGGTCAGGTCTACGCATCTTCAGGAGCAAGAGTAGTGGAAATGAGCCAGTGGCCCGACGGATCAGGTTAGACTTCATGAAGATGAGCTTTGAAGTCAACTCCGTGAAAAGCTGAAGTGTCGGGGCAGGGAAGGGGAAGTGGTAAACATCTCTGAGTGTAGGAAGAGGGAGGTTCAGTGACCAGTTCCAAGTCACTCAGCCGGCCGGTGGCGTGGCCAGAACGGGAAGCCTGGTCTTTCTGACACCAGACGCCAAACTTCTCAGCACCCCACTCTGTTCATCCCTCCTGGGCACTCTGTCCCCGCTGTCCCTCCCACACCTCTGCCTGCGTCCTCCACCCCCACCCCCCACCCGGGCCCCTCCGCCAAGTCTCTCACGCCTCCTAGCTGCACGCCTGTCTCTTCTCCCCGCACTGCCACCCAGAGTTTGGCACTTGCTCTCTGTGTCTTCCCGGACTCGGATGCTCCCGTGTGTCCCACAGAGCCCAGCACGTCACGGGTGCACAATACGGAATGTTCGCTGACTGGAGGGGCACCAGGGTGTGGCAGAGGATGAGCCCCCTGCCGGCCCAGCTCCTGAGGCTCCAGCCCTTGGGTTGGGGTGATTATTACCATCTTTTCTTTTTGTAATTTTTATTTTATTTATTTATCTTATTTATTTTTATTTGTATTATTTTTTTATTATTACCATCTTGTCTGCAGAGCTCAGCAAATGCCACAGATCAAAGGGGCTCATTAAATGCAAAGGGCACCAGACACTTCTCAATATCTGCTCGGGGCTCTGGGGCCCAGGGAATGGCTAAGGCAAGAAAACTCGGGTCTTCTCGAATCCCCCCGCCCCCAACGGACACGGTGTGGGGGAGGAATGAAGAGCATGGTTTTCAGAGATGGACTCCTTAGGTTTGAATGCCTCTTCATGCTCACCAGCTGTGCAAACTTGGGCAAGTCCCTCAACCTCTCTGAGCCTTCTTTATCTTTCTGTTGCCGGCAACTCTTGCCCCCTCCAAGGGTGGCTGTAAGCATTGAGTGATATCACACCCACAGAGGTGCTGGAGACGGCGCCTGGCACAAGTAAATCCCCTTGTGCGTGTGTTACAATTCTAACTCCCATTTCCATGAGGACTTTAATTTCATAGTTTTTTTTTTTTCCTACTATAGCTCTATTTTATTCTCTGCTGGCAAATAAGGAAGGAAGGAGCCAGGCCATAGGTAAAAGGTCAACGGAGCCCCTGCCCTTGTGAAGTGGATAAGAGGTCAGAACACAAATCTGCCGACTTGTGGCCCAGGAATGTCCTCTGGGTTACGAGGGGGATGCTGAGAGCACGGGGTGGGGGTGTGCTCTCCTTCCCTGGGGATGCTGAACAGAAGAGCGTGGGCCTCTTGGAGGGGTTAAATGGGATCATGCTTGAGGCAGGAGGCAGGACAAGTTGATCCGCGGCCCTTGGCTTTGGCTGAGCCGGTGGCTGAGGAAGAGAACAGGGTGGATTCTTCTTACTGCCAATGACACAGCGAGCTGCAGATGCAAGACTCCAGTGGTTTCTCCATTCACAGATTTCTTTCTGTTTATTTCCGGCTCGCTTCGATTCTCCCCCATCTCAATCTGAAAGGACTCGCTTCTGGAGTCCTTAGGTTACCTGGTTGCCATGGCAATGGCAGGTAAGCCAAGATTTCCCCTTCCATCCACACGGGCACCGGGCATCCCTGCCACTGAGCAGAAAGAAACAAATACAGTCTAGTGATGCAAAGACTCAGCCCTGTAGCAGTTTGCAGCTCCTCTGGAAGATCAGAACAAAGGAGACAATAGAAACCCTAGCCTTGGGGTGCAGTTTGGGGGCATCTTCCTTTATTGCCACTCATGTGGTGGTTAAGAGCTTGGACTCTGATCTTGGGAAGTCTCGGGTATATCCAGGCTCTTACAATCTGTGTGACCCTGGGAAAGTTGCTTAACTTCTCTGGGCCTCATTCAGTCATTCCTTTATTCATCAAGTATTCATCTAGTATGTTTCAGGTTCTGTTCTAGGTGACAAGGATACAGCAGTGAATGGAACTGACCAAAATTCTCTAGTAGAGAGAGACAGACAATAAAAAATATAAACAAACTATTAGTACCTTAGATGCTATCCTGTGCTATAGAGAAAAATGAGCAGGGGAAAGGAAAATAGAATACCAGGAAAGGGGCAGGTTGAAATTCTAAATAGGTTGGCTATGAAAGGGTTCACCAAATGGGGACATTTGAGCAAAGACTTGAGGAAGGTTAGGGAGCAAAGCATGCAGACATCTGGGGGCTGGACATTTCAGTGCAAAGGCCCTGAGGCAGAAGCATGCCTGGCATGTTGTAGGGACATCAAAGAGGCTGATGTGCTGGGGTAAAGTGAGTGAGGGAAAGGGGAGTAGGAGATGATGTCAGAGATATAATGAGGTTGAAGAATGAGGGACAAATTAGGAGAGGCTTGTGGGCCATTTTAAGGACTTGGCCCTTACTGTGAATGAGATGGGAAGTCATGAGGGTTTTGAGGAGAGGAGAGTGTCATGGTCTGACCATGTTTGACAGGATCACTTTGGCTGCTGTCTTGAAAACAGACTTGACAGAAAGGCCAAATAGAAAGACAGGAGGCTGTGCAGGCATCCGGGAGGGTGATGATGGTGTTTTGGACCCATATGGAAGCAGTGGGAGTTCTGAGAAGTGGTCCGTTTCTAGATACATTTTGAAGATACAGATAATAAGATTTGCTAATGGATTAGATGGGTACATGAGAGGAAGGAAAACAAGGATGACACTGATATTGACTTGAGCCATAAGAAGGATGGAGAATTGCTCTCATTTGAGATGGAAAAGATTGAGGGAGGAGCAGGTTTTGGAGGGCAGAATGGGAGCTCAGTTTTGGACATGCTTATTAAATAGGCATCAGAGACTGCAATAGATACTAGTCTGGAGTTTAGGGGAGAGTTCCAGGCTCAAGACATAAATTTGAGAGTCATTGATATACAGATGGTGTTTAAAGCCATAAGTCTGGGTGAAATCACCAAAGGAGTAAGTGTGGGTAGGGAAAGAGAGGGATACCGGGGCTGCTCCCTGGAGGATGCCAACATGTTGGAGCTTGGGAGATGGGAAAGCAGCAGGAAAAGAGGCTGAGAGGGAAGGTCAGTGAGAGGAGAAGGGAACACTCCAGTGGTTTCTCCATTCACAGATTTCCACGATGTGTGGAACACGTATGTTCCAACAGCCAAACAAGAAGACAAGGTGTTTCAAAAAAAAGGGAGCCACGGCCTTGTCAAATGCTGCTGATGGGTAAAGTTGGATGAGAACTGAGAATTAAGTGTGGATTTGGCAAGTTTTCCTTGATTTCTTCACTGTCTACGTGCAATATGAAGCAAAGT